TTCTGTAGCCGCTCGAAGTCACCCGCTTTGCGTTTTTGTGTGCTTGCTCTGGTTTCAAATGACAAAATCAAACATTTCTATTTACAATGTGTTTTTGCAGCGTTGAGTATTGTAGCCAATCACAGGCATCTCTGTTGAAAGCAATGGCCAATCAGAGGCGTTTAGTGTAGGTAATGCCGAGTTCACACTGCACGATTTTAGCCCGATTTTTCACTCGCCGACAGGTTTTGCGAAATCGCCGACAAATGCCCGAAATCGGAGGCAAATCGGTGCTCGTTCACGCGAGTGACAATCACGCAGTGTGAATTATTAAAGACGCGATCTGAGGGAATCAGTATTTGGCATGCTAAATATCTGGAGCTGTCGGATTCAGAATCATGCTGTGTGCAATGATTTCTGACTGAAAACTACATCGGCGATGACCTACAGCCAATGAGAGACCAAGATACAGGGCAGAGGGAAGTTCGGGGAGGAGTTATAGACCAGAATATCAGTATTTTAATAGATATATGAACAATTATATCATACAGAAACAAGCACAAACATTTGCTTGACCAGCCACAACATCAGCATAACAGTTACTGCAAAATGATTTACCTCCAACTCTCTTTGCAGAACACCCAATCCCTGTTCCCTGCATCTCCCTCCTGCATAATCAGTTTTTCTTTTTCTCCTTGTAGCTGGAAATCAGCTCACAGACAATTTGCGGGCTATATATATATATTTTTTTTTTAAATAATTCCAGTCTTGCTCGAGATCTCCGGTCTGACGCACGCAGGTTCTCGCGTTATTTTCCTTATCACTTCTCGCGTGTGTTTTGTTGTGAAACGTAGTTTGCGGACCAGACAGTTGTCGGCGATTCTTCCTATTGTAAAGTCATGCAGTGTGTAACCTCCTGTCGCCGATCCATCGTGCAGTGTGAACACGGCATTAGTCAGGATCCGCTCTGAACTAATTTTTGTTTTCGCAAGTTTATGGAGTTATACACGCTCGCAGATCTTCCCATTATAACAAAAGAAAAAGAAAGAATTCACGATGTAAATAAGAGATTGATTGTGTAGTTAGTTATTGATTATATCAGGAGTTTTCGTGAGTAAGCTCGGTCAGTTGCGCTATAAGGGAAGCACCCTTTGCTTGGTTTCTCTACATAATCGCGTCTTTGCCACCTTTTTCACCAATGATGAGTTGCATCCCTGCAAATGGAAAAAACAGTGCTTAAGTTTATCAGTTAGGCTTAGGCTCGACAGTACTATTCAGGTACAGAAATACTACAGAAATTGAATAAAGTAATCAAATGTAAAATAACACTAGATATTCTTCATTGTATAAAGAAATACAGCTTAATCATTACAATTAAAGTTACAAGATTTATTCAGTCAAGAGCAGTGATTTTCTCTTTGTCATTTGCGGTTTGATTAAAGGTGCAGTAGGAGATCTTGGAAAATGCTAACTTTAGCCTGATAGCACTGAAAGCAAACGTCCCACCCTCCCTGCAATCGCCGTCCAAAGCCACGCCCCCTGAACGCATATACGCTCACAGACCAGAATCCCAGAAACAACAATACTACAATATGCTACATCAGTGGTTCCCAATTCCAGCCCATGTTCCGAAGTGAAGTAAACTTAAAAGGATTTCCCCTGCTCAGGGAGTAGAAAGCAATGAACACTGTAGGGATCATATCGATCGGAACACAGTTCATGCACGTAGATCTCTTCTAACGAGCTGGTTATCTGAATCGGGTGTGTTAACGAAGCGAGACATGCAAAATATAAAGAGTGGGGGGGCGCGAGGACTGGAATTGGGAACCGCTGGGCTACATCATGTGTCATTCACCGGTGAGAAAACTTTAAAAGTGCTACAATACCAGGAAGGAAGATCGGGTTGTTGATGTTTGTCTGCCATTCTCGCTCTGTATGCACAGCGTCCGTGAATGCGCTGATGACGTATCCTGTCTGCGCGAACCGGGTGCGCAGAGGTATGCAAATACATACGTTGACAGGCAGGTAGGAAAGCCAATTAAAACGCTTGGACCGAGCGTTTTGATTGGACGAACATTTCATGGTCCTACGCCTTCCACAGAATATATAAATACATTTAGACCACTTAACTTAATGATTGCTATCGGGATGTGAAGAGACTTTCAACCAGCATAACAAAATTTTTTTCTGAAGACAATCACCTATTGCACCTTTAACATTAGGCTAAGGACACAGACAGTAGCAGGTAGGCTGCTGTGACTGTCACTTTAAGAGCTAATGCACTGACTGTATTATGTGACATGTTGACATAATTATATGTATTTGGCCATTTAAGTGCTGTAAATTAAGTGATTTGAATTTTTGCATTATATTGAGAGAGAGACACTGTAGCGCTTTGAAACAAGCACAGATATCAGATGTCTGCTGTTGAGGCTTGTCGTTACCATCACTGAAACTATGGCAACATTGGTTGTCATGCATTTTTGCCTAATTTGACTGTTTTGGTCCCTCAGATGAGTTTAGACCATCAGCTCTCTGTGAGGAGGGTGGGGGGACTTGTGGGCATTCATCTGCACCCAGCAAGAGTCTTCCGGAGGGTCTTTGATAGAAAAAGGCTGTTTGGGCTTAGAGGCCACAATGGCTGCCATTATAGATTCACCCCCACAAGAGTCGATTTGGCGTTTGGAAAGAGTTAAAAATAAGCACATTGAGTAGGAGTTGTTTGGGGGATGTATGTTAAATATTTCAGGAGTAGTGTTTTTTTTTTTGGGGGGATGGCAAATGAAGGGTGAAGAGATCTAGACGGAACCTGCCAGCGCATAAAGGGGTAATGGCCAGTAGCATAAGTAACTGTTGATGCAAACTCCTCTTAATGAAGGCCCATTCAAGTCACCGACCCCTGCACAAAGAAGTCCATGGGAATGAGCATACTCTTGTGTCGCAGAGGTTAAAATGTTAGGCCTGAAACTGTCAGGGGCTTTTGATTGGTTTTCAAACTTTTGGAAATGTTGTAAAAGAAGTGAAAGGTTTGCAGTGTTACGAGAAGGCTGCAGACCAACCTTTGGCCAGATGTGACTTTGGCACTCTGCACTGCAATAACAACCTTTATTTACACTAGATTTACACTGAAATCAAATCCCATTTCCTTTTGAAGCTAATTTGAAGATGGATATGGGTATTGCGTTTAAATATTAAATTAAGATTTGAGATGTTATCAGCTTCACCAAATGCATTTTCAAGATAATGTTTTCCTAGAGGCTCAAATATTTTCTTTCTTATTTTTCATTAAAATTCTGGGTCATCTGAGGAAAGACTGGGAAGGATTTGGCTTGCTGAACAATAGCATTACTTCAAATAGGCCATCCCTTAACAACACTGAACATTACACATTACAGAAACTTTTTTCTCAGAGTACACAAGAGTTTACTTAAAGGAGACATATTATGCCCCTTTTTACAATATGTAATATAAGTCTCTGGTGTCCCCAGAATGGGTCTGAAGTTTCAGCTCAAAATACCCCACAGATCATTTATTATACCATTTTGAAAATTCCTATTTGGAGTGGAAGCAGAAACACGCTGTTTTTCGGGCCTGTCTCTTTAAATGCAAATGAGCTGCTGCTCCACGCCCCCTTTTCCAGAATAGAGCTGCACCATTACAGCTCGTACCTGCTAAAAA